TCCAGAGGGCTGCTTAAAAACACTGATAGTGGTTGTGATGCCAAAGAAAAGGGTGAGTCAATGGCACGGGGCAAACCTTGGGCCAGCTGCTGGTTTTCCCAGTGATGGGTCAGGACCACCCCCTCCTCCACCACAGCACTGCAGTTTGCAAAGGATAACGCTTTGGGGGGAAAAATCCTCAGTCTTTGCAGATGAAACAGGCTGTACAAGATTTCAAGGTTATGATTCAATTCCATCCCATGTGGGCGATAGTCTTGGGCCTCATTTCCCTATTTACAGCTTTCACGTGACAAAAAAAAAAAAAAAAAAGAAAAATCAAGAAACCAAACAGTGCTCTTGAGTGAATCAAATCCTCCTGACAGCTAATCTCATTTTCCTCATTTTCCTTGTCTGTTGTCTCATCAAAGTCTCTCCAAGAAAGAGAGAGACTGGTGCAACCCTTGTCTCTGCTCCTGCCTGCAAGGGGTCTCTTTTCTTACCAGCCAGCACTCAGGGAAGCAATCCAGAGCAGCTGAATTAAGCCTGGTGGTGAGAGGCAGCCCTGATAAGGATTTCAAGGTACTATCAGGACTTCTGTGCTCTACCTGGCTCAAATATCCAAAAGGGGAGGTTTCCTTTAACCAAGTACAAAATGACCAAGCTAAAATCTTGAGGGGCAGAGGAACAACAGTGAGTTGACCTGCTGTGTGTGGCATCTGAGAAAACGTTCCTTTTCCTCCCTTTCTTTACAGATTTTTCCCTGTAGAGGTTGCATTTGCTTTAAAAATGAGCTCTCGTGCTTCCCCCAGCTGTAGCAAAAAGATTTGATGTTCCGGATATTTGAGTAGATTAATAAGAATTGTGTAATGATACACACATCCATGACAGTTATGCCTCCAGCATCACCTGAGTGATGCTCTGCATGTGCTACTAAGTTATATTTTCTACTGTGGGCTGGTTTACTCCCAAAGATATTTTTTTTTTCTCTTGTGACATATCCTATCACAGAGAGAAGCAAAGGACAAAGATAGAGGTGGATGGGTCTGACAGAGAGATGATTTCATATGGCATCTGGGAAAGTTGGCTATCAGTTGCTGCAGGAAAGACAGAAAAGCCTTCTGCTAACCGGTGTGTAAACATTTAGTCTCTACGGGTTAGAGCTAGGAGTTGCTCCTTTTGGTTTTTAACCTGTCCCAAAACCTTTTTACGAGTTAGGAGATTTCCCTGGAGACTTTTTACCCATTTGAGTCGTTTGCGTTGATATATAAGATACCTTTATGTAGGGTTTTTATTTTAATTTTTTTTTTCGAATTAAATAAGGAAATGTAAGAGTTTTGGCCTTAGGCATTTTTTCTGCCTTTTATTATGTGATGATGCCATCTTGTGGAAGTTGCTAAGAGCAAGAGTTGGAAACCACACCTAGATGATATCTATGTTTACAAGCCCCGTCACTCAGCAGGAGCAGGTTTGTGGGGTGGAGGATCTGCCATCCACATTCCATGTATTTCAGATAGGGTAGCTTTAGTCTGGTCCTGTGACTGCCCTTAGCAATTATCACACATATCTGAGACTGTATCTTTCTGGAGCAACCGTCTTCTATTTCCATTTTAAACTGAAAGGAATCCAGTTCAAGTGCACCACAATGAAGTAGCTAAGGGCATTAACTTTAAAAGTTTCTTAATTCCCCTCCTCATCCTCATTTACTCCTCACCTGAATTCACATGACAAAGTAGACACACCCTTAAAGCCTTGATAACAAGGTGAGATGGTAAGCCAATGGGATCATGTGTAGCCCCCAGAAGCCCTGGGAAGGATGCTCTTCTGTCTCCTAGTGCAGATGATTAGTGCTGTAATTAGAAGTTTGTGCTACTCACTCTGACTAGAAAGGTGCTCCTGGAACCAGGAAAAAGAAGCCATACTAAAGCTCTTCTCCAGCTTTTGTCCTATTAGAAAAATAGAATATTGCCTAGCTTTCTGGACTGATACTAAGGCAGCCCCCAAGAGCTTGCTCACAGAAGAACCTGTGTCTGCTCCTGAGAGTTAAAGCTTTGCTGGTAAAGCTGGGGAACCATCAATGCTTTGGGGATCGCAAAGCAAAGGAGGAGGAGGAGGATGTTGCTGGAGCAAGATACGAGAAATTGGTGAGAACTGACTATACGATTCAGTTATTCTAATGTCAGTAAGTTTGAACCTGCCTTGTTTTGACTTGGATCACGAGACTTGATTACATAGTTGCTGTTTTCACCAAATAGTTGTTGTTTTGATAAAGATGATTGAGCTGGTGCTGTCACTTTCAAATCTCCTCTGCTCATTCAGAGAAAGTTTCTTCAAACAAAAAGGCTGTAACAGAGCAGTAGAGTCATAAAATCACTCCATTACATGTGGTGATGCACTGAATATATTTATCACTCTGAGACTCAGCAAGCTAAAACCCTGTGATCCCCTAGCAAATACTTCCCTGCTCCTCCAGTAGTATGTATCTTTTGGAGGTTGACATAACGGCCTGATTTTGTTGAACTACCTGTGTATGTTAGTGGAAACTCGAACCTTAAAGGTGATGTTACTTTATTGAATTTCACATAACCTATTTGTTTGCTTATCTAAATGCAGTTCCTTTAAAGTATTTGTTTCTCATAATTCACTGTATTTCAGTACTTGAAATAACTACACTGTAATTTTCTTCATATATTGTTTACTATGAAACATTTAATTTCTCAGCTGTCACTTGATGTGTAAATTTTCATGGGTCTTTGCTTCTTGCTACTGGTATTTTTAGGTAACAAAAAAAAAAGGTAGTTTATTTTCTTCAAGCAGTGTACCATCTGATGTGTTGGTTTGCCAGCACGGCAGATTTTTATATGCTTCTAACCTGAATTAACTTGGTAATGCCAGAGACAATTTCTAATGAACAACAAAACATTCAGACCTACCGGGTGAAAATTTCTTCACAAATTGATGGCCCCCAAATCAAAAATAAACAGCTAAATAAATCCCTTCACCAGTCTACTTGCCCCTCCCCTGCCACCAAAAAACTCCACCACTCACTCAACCCAGGACACATTCCAAAGCTCCTGCAGATAATTTTGAATGCCTATTTCACATGGTGTGTGGAGTCACTAGATTACTTGGCCATGTCTACTTTGCTCTGTGGAGTTTCTTTCTTGTGATTGTTTGTAAAGGGTGTTGTGGCATGTGATGAATTAGCATAAGCTTCATTGATGGAGAGAAGGCAAGTTGTAGGAGTAGTTATCCCTCAGACTTTGAGTGTAGGATGTGGTGTTTGCCCAGAAAGGACAATGAGGGGAAAAGAAAACAGAGGAAAATGCTTCTACTTGCTTTGAAAATGTGACTGTCTGGTTTAAACAGAGCATGGGAACAGAACAGGAAGGCTATTGGGGAGGATTGGTACCTACAGCAGCCAAAGAGGTGGTGGTGGCAACAAGAAGTGACTCGATTCCAGCAATATCAACAGAGACGACACCACACAGACCGCTGTGCTCTTTGATTAGATTAGGGCTACATCTAGATGGGGGGTTTATCAGTAAATTAAAAAATAACAGTGAGCTCTAGAAATCAGTTGTTTGTGATCCTGTGGTTTTTGAGCTGGCCCAGTAAACATGTGTTCTAAAAAAGGGCTGCTTGTAGGTGAGGGTTGGTGTTGCCTGTGGCTGCTCCCCACCAGGAGCTTGCATGTGGCCACTCGGTTTTAGAGAGTGCTCATCACTTATGAAGAATGAGAGCAGAAGTGATGCAGAAAGCTAAGGCACTCAAGACCTTCCTTCAGTCACTTTAAAATGCTTCATTGCTCCACTTAGGAATTGATTTTTTTAACAAGCCATTAGGGCCACAAGCCAGAATGAGAAGAGAATGGTAAGAAATGCCTCAACAATTTAGATGATGTATCTAAGGCCATGTGGCTGGATGATGCCCTTCCTGGAGTGGGTAAGGATTTGAGGTGATTTCCAAGTTGGTAGGATTTAACTTCAGGGACTGGGGACAAACTCTATCCCTCTTCTCATCTGGCTTTAACAGGAAAAAAAGAAGACGTTCAAGGGAATTGTAGTTGAGTCAGTGTGACTTAGTTTTGCTGAAAGAAGTGAGTTAGTGATACACTTTGCAATATTTAGTGATACCCCATTTGATTCATACCAAACTCATCTATTTTTTATTTTTTTTTTTTTTTTTTTTTGGTATGAAATTATAGCTCGCTCCAGAAGAGAGCAGAAGATCCTTCCTTTGAATTTTGATGGGGTTATGACAGTGTCTTAAGTGATATTCTCGTAAGGAAGCTCATGGTAGTAGTTTGCAATGCACAGTGAAGCTGGCTTACACTATTCCCAGGGAGTGAGCTGCAAGGGGATGGACCTGGATGAAGACACTCAGGTGGGGAATGCACCATACCCAGATAGATCCTCAAAATGTGCTGGCAGAGTGTCTGATCCCATCCCACTGCAGTCACCAGCTCTGAGTCAGCGGCTTCCTAGTGTCCTGGGTTCAAAAAAAGGAGGTGTTTAAGTCCTAAAAGCCCTGCTAAAATCAAGTTGAAAGTCTTGGCACTCAGAATAGGAGTTAGGGACCTCAACACCAGATCTGGCTGTGACTGCAAACCTCTTGAGGCTTCTTATTGCAGCAGGTGGGACAGCATCACAGGAGGTCACATAGAGTTTGTATGGTTGTGTGACAGGGCAGGACCATGGCTATAACATGCATTTGGGCTTGAATGTGGTACTGTAGCTGATCACAGTCTCAGCTGTGGCACAGCCCTGTGGTAGCTCTTCTCTGGGAGGACCTGTTGATGAGTATGTGGCAAGATGAAGCCATGGTGGCCCATCTGTGGCTCCTTCAAAGATCCCACCTGCCTCTCCCTGCTGTAAAAACCCCTCAATGTGTAGCCCTGGGATGCCAGAGGCCAAAGAGCCTCAGGCCGCGACCTCCTTGGCCATCTGGTCTGTAGTCCTCCAGGAACAAGTCCTACTTGGGGTGGTGCTGTGGTTGGTGCAAGGCAGAGAATTACAACTTACTGACTGCCAGGACAAAGATGGCAAAGATACCAATCACCTGCCAGAGGCGCAGCCCCCAGATCACCACCGTCTCCGAAGTGACAGGGTCCGGTTTCTTTTTTGGGGGTTCTGTGGTGGCCTGGGAAAGAGGGAGAAAAAAACAAAACAAAACAAAACAAAAAACGAGAAATGTGGTTTAAGATTTGTAAGGGTCCCTAAAACAGTCAGAAAGATGCCAGTAGCATAGGAGATGGTGGACCTCAGTCTACTGGCCTCCCAACAATTTGGATATCTTTGAGGAATGGAGACTTCGCTCAAGAGCTTGTATCGAAAGCTTTTGCTATCTTGAAATTTATCTGAAGTATTGCCAGTTTTTATGACTACAAAGCAAATCTATTTGCTATTATTTCTTAAAGTCTGAGGTTTTTTCTAAAGAGTCCATCTCCTCAGGTCAGGAGGAAATTTTTTATACTTTGCACTCCTATCTTTAAAAGATATTTTTAAGACTCAGCTGCAAAATGCAACATGGCTTTTTTAATTTTTTGAAAAGACTTCTCCACAAGTTTCACTGCGGTGGTATCTGCTCTGCTAGGGCTAGGTGAGAAGGGAAGGAAGAAAAAAGCTAAACGTCCAGAGCCAGTTGCTCCCTAAAGATGGGGAGCTGAGGAAGACAACACAAACAGCAGAGTAGGGCTCTTCACCACCAAGACCCCATCCCACCATCCCCAAACAAGGTGAGCAGAGATCCCAGGTCACCAGATATGTCCACAGTGATGGGGGATGTTCAAGGGTCAGCAGAGCCCATGGCCAGGCACAGGGTAAACACTAGAGCCTTGGTTTAAAGCAGGTCCCACTGGACTTGGGGTCAACCCTTGTTTCACTATCTCACAATTGGTCTCAGCACCCCAACTTCCAGGAGGAGGATGCTCTGGGTGCTTAAAAAGTAATTTCTGCCTTTCTCCTGAACCCTGGAGAAATGCTGCTGAAGAACTGCTAGATCAAATAGGACAGAAGTTTGTGCGTATGAGACGGCAGTCGATTGTTAGCTTTGGGTTTGGTTGTGTCTTTCTATTTTTCTTTTCATCCTGTAGCGTAAGACCTGCCAGGAGAACGGGATAGCTGCTTCCCTGGCTCATATTGGTGTTTTGGTGCTGAAAGATGTTGGGTCTGTTCCCCTTCTTGGTGCACATTCCCTTCCTGACCCCATACCAGTCCCTTTTTCTCCACTCAGACTTCATAGGGCCTGAGAGGAGGGGTAGGGCACGGTGCACACTTGGTTCCCACCTTCTTTAACTGTGTAGTAACTGCTGCAGGCTACAGTTACTCCACTGCCTGAAGGAACAGTGCAGGAAGGGACCAGATAATGTCTCTGCTCCACGTTGGCCTCTCTAGCTGCTATAGGAATAGCGGGTTAATCTGTTGGGCAGAGATAGCCGTGGCCATGCCTGGCTCTCTGGCACTGGGGTTGCTATAAGAAAAGATGTGAATCTTCTTTCCAATTGTCCTACTATGGAGCTCCTCCAGGCATGTACCTCTCTGTGGGCTGCTGTCCAAGGTCTGAACATCTGCACTCTGATGTTGACTTAACCCTCAATTTCTAGGCAGGGAATGCACCTCTGGAGGGGAGGAGGACTCAGAAAGTTGAGTAATCTGAGGTTCTGTGGTGGTGTTTCATAGTTACTTGGCTGCAAAGATGTGAGTGGGGCTAGGCTTCCACCTACTAAATACAGGCATCTTGTCTGAAGTGTTGTGGGGTATCCTCCATCCACCCACCCAGCAGGGCACAGGTCTTGCACTGTGTCGTAGGTGCCAGCTAATGTATTCATGTCAGATACTGTAGGACACCTCAAATGGCAATAGACTTCATAGCAATGTCATAGCAGTGGCCTCATCACTCACAGATTAGAGACAAAATCAGGAAGTCTCATATCTACATCTTTCACTGTCTACTTCATGTTGTACGAGCACCCAGTGCCTCAGTCTCTCCATGGGTAACAGAGGAACATTGCTGCTCGCCTACTTTTGTTCTGAGATATTTTGAAGGAAAATGCCATGTGAATTTGATACAGGGACAGACACTGGGGCTCATTTATAAGTTCAGAAAGGATGCTTGATTTTAAATCCCATTATCACTGGGGAATAAGGAGTTAAAGGACCCTTGAAAGGCAACACACTGTGTGAGCAGTAATTCCCACACAGCATATTCTCTAGTTTTCAAAAAGCAAAGCTGAATTAGAAGGCTGTTTGAGTTGCATGTAAGTACTGGGGATTCAATCATGTTGTTTTAACCCTGTAAAGTAAATATTGGAAAACACAGATGTCAGATTCTGTGAAATGCAAAGAAAAATCATAGAACGGTTTGGGTTGGAAGGGACCTTAAAGACCATCCAGTCCCAACCCCCCTGCCCTGGGCAGGGCCCCCTTCCCCCAGCCCAGGGGGCTCCCAGCCCCGTCCAACCTGGCCTTGAACCCTTCCAGGGAGGGGGCAGCCACAGCTGCTCTGGGCACCCTGGGCCAGCGCCTCACCCCCCGCACAGGGAACAATTTCTGCCTTAGATCTCACCTAAATCTCCCCTCTTTCAGCTTAAAACCGTCCCCTCTCGTCCTACCCCCACCCCCTGATCCAGAGTCCTCCCCCACCTTTCCTGTCCCCCCTTTAAGCCCTGGGAGGCCGCTCGAAGGTCCCCCCGGAGCCTTCTCTTCTCCAGGCTGAACCCCCCCAACTCTCTCAGCCCGGCCCCCCAGGGGAGCTGCTCCAGCCCCCCCAGCATCTCCGTGGCCTCCTCTGGCCCCGCTCGAGCAGCTCCGGGTCCTTCTGCTGTTGGGGGCCCCCGAGCTGGCCCCAGCACTGCAGGGGGGTCTCCCCAGAGTGGAGCAGAGGGGGAGAATCCCCCCCCTGGCCCTGCTGCCCCCCCTGCTCTGGCTGCAGCCCAGGGCACGGGTGGGTTCTGGGCTGCCAGCGCACGGGGCTGCCTCACGGGCAGTTTTCCCCCCACCAACCCCCCCAGTCCCTCTCCTTGGGGCTGCTCTCCAGCCACCCCTCGCCCAGCCTGTGTTTATGGTTCAAAATGGGTCATTCTGGGCTAGAGGCTCCAGCAGTATGAGAGATTCAGGGCAAGAAAGCATAATGTATCACTAGGGAAATTAAATAACACAGTATCAAGGAGTTGAGATTAAAGCTTAGACTAGGGATCCTATTGGTTTTTTATATATATAAATAACACTACTGAACAAACAGCTGGTTGCAATGAAGAATTTGGGTAACCTGTATTTGCTGAGAACTCTAGCGTTACTTGAGAACACATTAAATGTGTAGAGAAGAGCCAGCTGTGCTGTGAGTCCAGAAGGAAGGTTCTGGGTCCTGGCTTTTCTCTGTTTTTGGTTTTGGTTTTGGTTTTGTTGTTTTTTTTTTTTTTTTTTTCACATGAATACACTATAAGACTGTTGACTGGCAAGGTGGTGCTGTTTCCTTTCTTTTTATGTTGTAGCTTGCAGATTCCTTTTGCAATTTCATGCATATATACATATATATATATTGTGATCTGGAAAATAATTTAAGTGGGAGATGTGATACCAAATGTCTCCATTCCTTAAAAATATCTTTATTTTTACAATTAAGTGGACTCTTCCTAGCTGTAAGTATACTTTTTTTTTTTTTTTTCAATTTGTATTTGTTTTGGCGAAGTCAAGTTTTCAGTGAAGTTCTCCATTAAACAAAGACTTTAATTAATAATGAATTACAACGAAATGTAAAAAAAAAAGAAGTGAAAGAGTTCTCATTTTTCTTCATTCATAAATAGTATTTTTTCTATGCAGTCCTGCTTCTATATTTTCAGTTACCAAGGACAAGTTTGACCACAGAAACCTGCTTTTAAATTGTCTTATAGAAGTTGTGTTAAGCCTGGCTGTCATTTGGGAAAGTACTTCTTAATCAGTTAACTTATTCGGACTGACAAGGAGGTCTTTGGATTAAATTTTCTGGCTTGTACTGTACCAAAAGTCGGAAAAGATGTGATAATATCCTGCATATCTACAAAAAGAGGGGATTTGGGTAAAGAGGGGAGGGTGTCTGATGCAACATGAACAGCACTCTAGTTAGTTTCTTATTGCTGAAAAGGCTCTAAAAGTGGAGTGTAAGGGGGAAATTAGAAAACACATGAAAAAAAAAAAGAATATTATTCATAAGAGCCTTATCTTGTGAAGATGCTGTGAGCTTTCTTTATGTGGTTTAGTGGTGATTTGGTTAGTACTTCAGATGAGGTGAATCGCAACCTCAGCTTCACTGACTATTGAGTAGATTTTCAAAATATATGGGACAGTCTGGGTCAAATGGCTTTACAGACACCTGCCTTCGGTAGAAGAAACTTTTCTGGAGCAACCATTTAGATAGAAATGGGTCAAGGACCCTACAGCCTCCAAAGTACCTAAGTCTCATTGCAGATCTAGTCCTTAGTCCTTGTGTGCCTCAGTTCCCCACCTCTGAAATGGAATTGAACATGGTTCACAGGTGTGTTAAGAGCACAGATGTTACCAGTGAAATGAGTTTTCTAGACCAACTCCTGTCGTCCCAGTGCAGTGATGACATGGTAGTCACACATACCAACAGGCAGCATTTATTCTCTTGGCTTGTGACTTAAAAAATCAGAGGTTAGCAACCTTTAACTGCTAATGAACTTCACGTTATGATGTGTTATGGTGTAGAAAATCACAGCTGAATTCTGCAAGTCACCTTTCAGAAGGGTTGTTAGCAAAACACAGTCATTGCTTTATATCTGAATGTAGGACCTGATGTGAATTGGCAATAGCCTTTTGATCGAGGCTGAAAAACACTTCGCTTATTAAAAAAAAAAAGAAAAATCTCCTAAACAGGCACATCTGATTCCCTGCAGTGTTCTTCCCTTCTCTGCCTGTGAAAGTGCTGTTAAAACACAGCTGTAATGGACACCACAGAGTGAACTGGAGCTGGAGCTGCTCTCCAATTACTCGCCTATTTGTGCAATACAGACTATATTTTAGTCTCTTCCTAATGAAGGATGCTTCCCGCTGTGTCTGGAGTGCTTTGTCTCTCGGGGGCATCTTATTCAGCACAGATGGATTCTGAATAGGACTGCTGTCTGAGCCTGTCTCTTCCAAGCTGTC